TGTATGTATGTATGTATGTATCTGTGTCTAACCGTACTCGTGTTTATACGTGCATGCACCTGCGTACATATCTACAGGTAGCAACATGCGAGTAGCAAGCTCGAGGTGAGTGGAGCGCAAAGACGCTTTGGCAAGTGGTTGGCATCCTCGCCATCCTCTTCTTTATTTGGGCTTGCGTGGACATTCTCATGGCTCACTGCAAGCAAGAAACAAATCACGCTTCGTTGCAGGCCGCTGTTCAGTCTTTTTGACCAGCAGATTCTGGGGATCTAGTTTTGGATGGTACTCCTGCAAAGTTTTAGTTCAACCTACGCCGTCCTGGCCAGTCACTCGGGCAAAGTGTCTGGACATGACAGGCAATGCAGAATAAATTGTGCCGGAAAAAAGAGGTTGTAGGATTCATGCTCAAGGTTCAGAGTATCGATGTGATGTCCTCCTAGCGCTACTATTGATTTATTGTGCAGGCTGGATATATTTCCCGCTGGCGTGCGAAGCTTCGCAACAATTATGCCACAGCACTGCACTTGAGACTGTAGTCAACGTGACATCTGGTCTGGACAGAGTTAGGCAAGTGCCTACTGCGGCGTTGCTAGGTGATGGGAAGGCCACAGTACCCTTTGTGTTCTTCCATGCATGGGCATCTGCCCGGGTGCGTGCCTAAGTGCGGTGGGGGTCTCTGCCGGAAGAGGTGGAAACCCTCACGCAAACAAATGATTGTGACCAGGAGATGCTTACATATTCGGTTTAATTTTTATCGAATACCAAAAAAGGTGTGCGCCTATTGGTGGACCGGGGACCGTCCTGTGCATGAACTGGTTACTGGACAGCAGTACAGGTTGCTCACAAGCAAGCTTTATGGATCAGGGATGATCAAGCTTAATTGGCGTGTCAGCAAGGTTTGTGCTGGTCGCTGCCTTGGGCATTTGGCTCTCTGCCCTGGCTTTCTGGTTTGCTCCGCGCTGGAAGCAGAAGCATTTGGACAGAGATGCAAAACGAGTTACGAGTTTGAAGCTTTCAGAAAGTTGAACTTGGCCAATCCGGGCTGTCAACTCGCAGGATGCCACGCTCGCCTGGAAATGCAATCTCCAGCATTTGCATCCGGATGAGCGGCATGAACTTTGGGCAGGTCTGAGCTACATAGGCTTGGGAGTTCCTCACTGAAGCAGCCATTCCACAGCTCCGCTGCAGCTCTGAACTTGACAAGTTCTGCTATCCCAACCAGTGCTGCAGGTGCAACAGTGATGTCTGCCATATTCTTGATGTGGCAGAGCTTGCTTTGGACAAGGATGACGCATGACACTGCTGGGGACATATGCCTGGACTTCTACTGCTGCCATGCAGCATCCAGCTTTGCATCACCATTCCAGTAAGCACTGCGCTGCGCAGTACTTGTAAAGTGCATTCTCTGCTGCTTGACGCTTCTGTCTCAGAGGTGTTGAGTCGTCCGGCTTTCCGCCAGATGCCACGAACAAGCAAGAGTTGTTGGATGCTGGCCTTGAACCGTTGCATGCGTTGTGGTTTTCCTTCTCTGATTGAAGATTCCATTCCCAGCACGAGGCATACTTCAGCGGAGAACTGTATCGCCTGGGCCTTCCACCTGATGGTGTGGAGTACATATCCATAGGCCGAGCCAACAAAAATTGCTGGCGAGATGCCATTGCACAAGCCATGAGAGTTGGACATGAGATATTCAGTCTGCCCCATATACTGCGTGGTCCAGGATACAAATTTACTCCAGATGAAGCTATCTTGGTGGAGCATGCCATCGAGAAGCACCTTGAAGAGGAGGATGCGCATGATCCGGCAAGCCCGAGAAATTCTCCGAGCAATTTCGAGCACAGCCCCGCACGAGTGGGACCTCTGAGTAAGCGAGCGGTGACACGCAGCGTGGGCGAGGCGGAGATAATGGAGCTGCAGGCGATGACTGGAGAATGGAGTGACAGCTCGGATGGAGAGGATTCAGATCCTGGCGGCTTTTGGGTGCAGCTCCTTGCCAGTGTTGCTTGTCCTTACGCAGGGGATGGTTTGGTTCATTGCGTGCTTTGAGAGCCGCTTCAGGGAGACTGTTGCATTCATGCTTCTCAATGTCGTGAGGTCCTGTGTGGAACTCCGTTTGTCTGTTGTGATGCATCGGTGGATCCCCAAACCCTCTTCCGGCACGACCTCTTGGAAGAAGAGCTGGACCTGGACCGTTTCCCGAGCTCGGGCCTTGTGTAGCCTGCTCAGAGTGAGGTTTGCAAATGTTTGCAGTATTTCATGCTCAGCAAGGTGCGCAATGCACGCTCAACATGAGACTGCAGGTTTGTTGTTTTGAAGATGGAGCCTGTGGCTGTGGCTTTTGCGAGTGCGAAGGTGTTACCAGGCGAGTGTTGTGCGGGTGCTTAGCTAAAGCTTGCGCATGCTCATTGGCAGGTCTCTTTCGCGGGACACATGAGATCAGGGTCACGAGATGCAAAAGCAGCCCACAGACAATCGTTTGGTCGAACTTTCACGTTGATTCCGGAATGTTCTGGCAGCGAGCGGTGCTGCTTCATCCTCAGCTGTGTTTATGCAGGACGTCAGGAAACTCTGGCAGATTGTCATGTGGAATCGAGGTCATTCTTCGTGCTGCTCGCCACGCTGGTGGTCTGGTTTGGCCTCTACTTTCCCTTCTATCGTCTCTCGATGAGTGTGGGCTCCTACAATGTGACGAGTGATTTGGCTGTTGGCATGTCAAACTTCGCTGGCCTCTTCATTGCCCCTCCGCTGTAGTAGCAGAATCTTTCCAGCACGTACAGAATTATCAGAATTATCTGGCATCCAAACCTCTTGATGCTCCCAAGGCTCTTGCCAACTGTCACCCGGCTCGCGTGTGAGGGCTGTTCTTGCAGCACGAGGGTGGTGGTTGGTTGGGATAGAGCGCAGCAGGTGGGATCTCCATCATCATCCCTAAGCTCACAGCGTATATGGGTTTCTGGCATCAATCGGAACAGCACCTCACAGATCTAGCAGTTCTGATACCGCCGCGCGGCAAGAAGTGCTAAGAGGGGGTTCCGAGCTGTGTGCCTCTTGTCTTCTTGGTTCAGAACTGAGGTGTGTGGCTGTGAATTGTCTCATGGCCGCTTGACAACGCCAGCAAATGTGTGCTTGGTAAGATGTGCCTGTTTGAATCTTGTGCTTCTTCTTTCTCAAGCGTCCCTAGACATCCGCAGACCTTCAGCTTGCCCTGCAGACTTTTTCCGTGCAGTTCATGTTTGGCCGGTTGCGGACCTGGTTTCGATTTTGTCCGCCAATCTAATCAAATTCCTGCGCTTTTACCCTCAAGTCTCCGAGTTTTGGGTCTGACGGCAGGTGGACTAAGTGCAAGACCTGAATACGACTTTGCCTAGCATGGCCAAGAAGAAGAACGCGAGAACTCCTTGTGCAATCATTTTGAGAAGTGATACCAGTACTGTGTTGCAAAGGCTGATGCCAGTGGGAGGGAAGACGGCGTGGGGAAGGGTGCCGGGAGGTGGGCTGGCAGGGTCCTTTTGTGCATTGGGTTGGCAGGAACGCAAGGTAAATGTTTAACTAGCGGCGGGGGCTCGACAAGCAACCTTCGTTTTCTTGCACGTTGCAACCTGGATTCTTTGGGCCAGAAGTTCTGCGTAGAGTCCAGGGCTTGCAGGCTCGACTGGACTGGCCAGGTTTCACTGAACGCCGGCCCGCTCAAGCGGCGCTCGTGGGATATGTTTCGGGTTCCGTGTAATACACATCACAACAGTTTTTGCAGACGTGTCATACGAGAGGCATACAGCCCGGCAGAATCATCAGAGCTGTTGTCACTTTGAGAGACTATGGTAGCTTTTGCGCACAGGGGGCGTGTTCGTCTTACATGTGTGAGAGACATGCGGCAAAAGCGCTCTCAGGACTTCTTTGTGCGACCCTTGGTATTGGATTCGCAAGTGTGCATCATGCCCGACTGATCCTTCATATCTGGCATTCTGAATAAGGTCACTAGCTATAGCTCTGTCCAGCAACTCTCCGACAATCTGACGCGCAGCATCAAACTTGAGATTGTGACTTCGGCCAGCAGTTTTGATCTCCCGCCGATCAGGGCCTGAAGTCACTGGGCGGGGGGAAGCCCGGAAGTCATCCTTCGGCCTCAAATGCTTGCCATGTTAGTCGCTCAGTGAATCAAGTTTTAATGCAGACTTTTCCAAGGTACAGGATGCTTGGCAGGAGAGAAGGTGACCGCGTGGGGGGGTGGGGGGCAGTTCAAGCTCACAGTGTCTGGCGCTGTGTTCTATTGTGAAAGGTGCCTGTTGGTGTCATGAAGCTGCTAAGGACAACTTGGTGTACCTTCTGTTTCCCAGTTATGTGCTACTGCCTTACCTCGTCGAGCCCGTACCTTGGCTGCACGTCGATTCTGCTTCTCACGCGCTTTGTCCGGGGTGATGCCAGAGCCAGAGCTTCGAATCAACGCAGGTGGCCACCATAGCTTTTTCGTTCTATGTTGCGATTCTACGCATCAAGTGTGAATCTCGGCAGCACGGGCAGAGTAGCTAAGACGAGCTGTGATGTAGCACTTGTCTGGCTTTGTCCTTGTGCTCAGCGACCTTGGCCGAGGACAACCGTATCACGCCTGGTCAGGCGGAGATTGCGATGATGGCTCCAGAGACAGCTGCCGGTCCAATTTTTTTTTTGGGAAGGTGGGGAAAGAATATGTAAGGAGTTTATTGAACTGCCTTTGGATATGATGTGGCGGTGCTGCGACAGTTGACAGCTTTCTTGCTGTTCGGGGTTTGGAACTTGTGGAGCCTTCTATGCAGCTTTGCGCCAGACGGAATAGCATTTAAGGATCTGAAAGTTCCGCTTGCAGACTTGCACCTTGGATCCCAACAATCGATAGTCAGAAAGCACGTCCTTTGCAGAGTCGCCGCGATTGTTCAGTGAGGGAAGGATTTCCTTTGAAATGTCCAGGATATGCACGACATCGACCATCATCTCAACATTCCTCCTAGGGCCGAGCATGTACCACAGACCTTGGTCTGATTTAAAGTCAATGGTAGATGAGGTTTTTTGCAATTACATGGCCATGAAAAATATTGCCCCTCCCAGGATTTTTTTTTTTGCTCATGGTTGTCTTCTGCGCGGTGGCATCTGGGCGAGACCAGAAGCAGCTTCAGGGCCAGGCGAGTCTACCTTGAACAGAAACAAGAGCCAAGGCTTACGCGCAATATCGTGTCCGAGTTCTGCGCTGGGACTCGGCGTGCTTTCAAGGCACCAAAAGCTTGCATGCCGCTGAGCCGCACAATAGCGGAAGTGGGTTCAACATAGCTTCAGAATCTAGTCAGAATATTCATGGACCGGTCCATTGAACCCTTTCTGAGGCCTGCCAATCTGCATACTGGTGTTTCCCCTTGGGCCTCCTTGCCGCAGCCTGGGAGCGCGAATGGAAACGAGTCCCATCCACTGACGTGGTCACCGGTTGGCACCTTTGCCTGGCATGGTCCAGTCATGTCCAGTCTTCTGAACTCCATGACTTGGACATTTTGGATTCCCCAGGCACGGATTCACGGTGAATCTTGCCTGCATCCGCTGCCGGAAGAGCGCCAGTCTTAACTGCTGATAATTGTTGATGGTGTGCGGATGAACCCAGGCATTGCATGATGCACTTCATATTCTTGCGCTTTGTGTTGCCAGGCACCGTGTGCTTAGATTCGCATGTCGCCATTGAAAGGTTGATGCTGTTGAAAGAGCAGTCTGACGCCTGCCAAGCCTGCAGGTTTGGAGCCAGAAGTTCCCAGCAGCCAGCTGTCCTATTCACAGGCCAGGGCGCAAGATCTGCTCCCAACCAATCTTTTGCAAGTTGTGGCGGCAAGGCCCTCAGCCAACTGGGTGGGAGCCTCAGGTCTTTGGATGAACCACACATGTACTTGGGGATCACTGAGTTTGAGTGCCTGATCCATGACTTCTGGGCATCCTTAATACCAGGACTGCTATCCCATGTCCCTTTTGCGGCTTTCCCGAAGCAAGGTGGCAAAGCCGGATTGGCCGACTACTTGAACACCAATCCTATAGAGGTGGATGTTCGCATTAAGATGCGACCTCTGCGATTGAGACGAGACATGCGCAGGTGCTGAAGAGCCTCAACACGCCACATCGACTGATCTACTACCGTCCGGACAAGGAATACCTGCTGCTCATCAAAATGTGAGTTAGCTGTTACCCTTAATGCCACGTAAGCTGAAGTATGTGGTCTGAGGCAACGTCGGGCTTCCAAGTTCACTCCAGGCCATAAGAAAAGAGGGCCAACACAACTGCAAAGCTCAAAGCCTAAAGGCGGAAAACCCGCGGCCTGCTTAACTGCAGGCGACACCGGCTTCATGATGAGCATGCTGACGCATATGCAAAAAGACGCAACCTCTGTTGTGCCGCGCTCAGTGTGGCGGCACGCCCTCTGTTGTGCCGCGCTCAGTGTGCCGCCGCCATGTGCCGCCACAGATCGAGCTCATGTGAAGCAGCAGGGGAAGGAGGGGACCTGTGCCGCGTGCTACCTCGGGGTCGCAGTCAGGTCTCAGAGATGGTGACATCTGTTGGGCGCCCGCTTGACCAACTGGCAGCAGCTTGGCACAGCTCGGCACAGCTTGGGGATGCGTAGGCAGCTTGCATCGCGCTGGGACCCTGCTTGCTGAAGGCGCATGGAGCTGACCTGTCGAGGACCGGAAGTCCTGCAACTTTTCTTGCCCAAAGCTGTTAGCATGAAACAGATCCATGTGGCAGAAGGCGGGCGGCCTACTTTCAGCATTTCCAGCATTTCCAGCGTGCCAGATCTGGCTCTGAGTCTGAGACGGTTTCTGGAGAAAGCCACTAAAAGAGAGTCCCAGAAAGGCAGACCAAAGTAGACTCCACAAGAGAGTCCGTTTGCTCGAGGGGCTTGCGCACATTCCTGCCAGATCGCATTGCTTGCGAAGATCCCTTCCCATGCTTCAGAAAAGATCCGAAGAACGGCCTTCCACGCGTTTCTGTTTCAGAGATCCGTAAGGGATCACCTTTCCCAGGGTGAGAGCTTTTGTTCACCTTCCCAGGCTGGGACTCCTCCTTCAGCTTCGATCGCTGTTGCAGCTTGACAAGCGTGAAGCGCTATGCGTCCACCTGGCGAGTTGCTTCAGCAACTGAATTCACTTGCCGAAGACCTCATGAGATGGAATGGGCGCTGTGGCAATACTTCAATTTGCACTGCCACAGCTGATAGCAATGCAGGATGCTGTATAGTCCTTTTTAGGCAACGAGCTTGTAAGCATGATTTCCTGCCAGAAACGCAAACTCACAGGGAGCCTGTGGAACTGGCTTGTGGCAACACCGTTTCAACCCACCCCTCTGGCAAGCACCAGTTTTTGAGAGTGGAAGAATCAATGAAGATCAAGCCGTGCAGAACGTGCATTGTGCGTCTCATGGCAGGGACTTCAGATTTGATCCGCCTGCAAAGTCGCACTACGAGCTGTCCTCTGCTCAGCCAAATCGACAAGCCGGAGCTGAAAGCATGAACGCCGTGCCTGGGGAGCGAATGCTTGGCTAAACCATGCGAAGAGGCTTCATCTCGAACGTGACAACAAGCCCAGACTGGGACCTGTGCAGGCGCCCGATGTTTTCAGAAATCTTGTCTCAAGGCTTTTAGAGTAGGCAGAAGCAGGTTGAGGAAAGCAACTGTGCTAGTAGAGCGCTCAGGATGATGAGGCCCTTCTGCTCTATGGCCTTGTTCGAGCATTGCGTGAGGGCCCTGAGGTGGCTTTGGCCGGGAAGTGCGGATGCCGTCTTTTGACGAGTTGTGCAAAGGCCCAAGAACCATCGTTGAGCAGGTTCCCCGGCGCTGGAGTTTCGTCTGATGCGGGCGAGGGGGTATTGCAAGGTTTGGCACCTCCAATGGCTTCAGTGCGCTGAACTGGATGCTGCTGCCTCTCCTTTCTTCTGGGATCCCAAACCGCTTTTGCTGAACTTCGTTTTGACATTCTTGCAGATGCACAGAAGCTGAGGCATGCGATTTCTGACTGTCCTGATGCACGTGTCTTCAGCCTCATCCCACAGCATTGCGGTCCTTTATGTCTTTGCTACCTGCTTGGATGCATGACGAGGTTATGACATCTTGCCGTACCCGGCAGCACGGGCACTGGAGGACAATAACCGCAATTGGCATCTTGATGGGGGAAGTTCAGGGTTGTGAGGACTCCGATCCGCGCTTCATGTTCCACCAGAAGAGTCAGCCCCTGTGCAACTCTGCAGTTATCTGCAGTTCACTGTTGTAGAAGCTTGCTCTATTTGTTTGGGGATGTCTGGTGAGGATTCTTGGCGTGGTTGCAGAACTATGCCATGTGGAGGTCAGGCGGACTTTGAGCCTGCAGATGTGGATGGGCGGCCAGTTGATGTTGCCTTCTTCGACGCCGGTCACCTCATCGAGCGGCTGTGTTGCAGAGAGATGCAAATGGAAAAGAAGCGACGGCGAAATTGGAAACTGCAGGTACAGCCTCAAAGCTTTCGAGCGGTTGCGACCGTCACTGGCTGCGAATGCGATTGTCGCGGTCCACGACACGGGCCTACATGTCTGGCCCTCTTCCCCGGCGAGCCTCAGAAGCTGAACATTCCATTTCGGGGCTTGTCTGCAAGGTCCGCGACTTCGGCTCTGGTGCACCGCCAGAGGCGTGCCATGGGGTAGTTGAGCGAAGATCAAAACTCCCGAAACGGAAGCCCCAAAGCAAGTGGCTGTATTGATGTTGCCACAAGTGAAAAGTGTGGGGTTCGTAAGCTACCATAAGCAAAACACAGGCACTTGTCGCATCGTAAATGCTGTTAGCTCTTGTTTCCAGGGTTTTGGATGACTCCTGCTGAGAAGAAATAGTTCGTGGTTATCCCTACGTTGCCAGCTTGTGAAAGTGTGCTGCCGTAAGCTAAACCACCGGTTTCATAAGCCACCGCAAGCAGAATTGATACGGCACAAGAACCCCTGCTGGATTGGTGGCAGAAAGGAGCTGTGCATTTGGTGCGCAATGGTGTGCCAGGAGGAGGGTCAGCCCTTCAGCGAGGCGAGCTGCGCACTGCGCGCAGGGGGCCCTGCCCGCTGCACGGGGCCTAGCGGGCCTAGCGGCACAGTACCGGATCATGCCAGATGCCATTTGCTGCTTGGCCTGCAGCTTTTCCTTCCATCCACAAAGCAGCCAAGCAGGATCTCTAAATAGAGTAAGATACTATGATCCTTTTGGGCTTTAGCTTTCCACGTATTCTTACTTGGGTTGAACCAACAAGATCATCCACCTGTGCAGTCAACACATGTACTGCGAATGGTTCATCTCAGGCGGTGCACTAAGACAGACCTGTGGTTGTTTGGGGGTTGGGTAGTACATTGGGGATGTATGGGAATAATGGAAAGAAAATGGAAACTAAATTGATTATAGGGATTATGTAGGGCTTATATATAGGGATTGTAGGCTAAAGAGAGTTTGAGCTCCATGTCTGGCCTCCATGGTCCAGCGCTGGTGGGTACTGGCACCCATGGCTCTGCTCCTGTGGAAGGGGCTTGAGATGCTTTGCTTTCATTCGCAAGCTTTTGGTACTGTACTGGAAAGTTGTGGGCGCAAACATACCTCAAGTTCTTCCCACGAAGTGTTGTACATGTATGTTTGCAATTCAGGCGGGGATCTTGCCGAAGCTTTGCTTCCGTAGCTCGCTGCCTGGCCAGCAAATTCTTCAAGCAGAATCTCCGGTTGTCATTGTTGGTAAGGGCCGCCCAAAGATGCCTCAATGAGGCGAGGCGTAAGCCACAGGATCGTATTTGGCATCCAAGGCCAAAAAGCGCAAGGCGCTGAATCGAGGTCCGAGTGCCGTGCCATTGCTGCTGCTCCTGCTGCTGCCACTACTCTTGACACTACTCATCGGAACACACAGCACACGCAAGCTGCCATGACTTGGCAAACCCTTTTGCGCATCTTCAGCCGGCCAACTGTGCAGGCGCAAGTGCTTTGCTCCTCTCAGATTCTCAGTGGTGGCGCAGCAGCTGGAAAAAGTGGCGAATGCCACAGGAGAAGGCAGCAAGGCCCAAAAGGTTGCTCTTTTGACGAGACTCGGCTGCCTTGAGTCTCTGCTGTTGCAGACGGGCTTGCAGAACATGCGATTCTCAGGGAACTTTTCGATGCGTCCCTGGAAGACGTGAAGGTGCTCTTGAAACTGTTGACTCGCTGGGGCCTTCGTCGCACTGTACAGCTGCGAGTGCTCCGGCGTATTTAGCAGCTTCAGGTGTCTCATGTCCCAGGGTGGTCCGGGTAGATTCCGCGTAGATGCCGTTGTCTTCAGTTCAGGTTGGTGCTGCTGTGCTTCAAGCGGCGGCTGCCGACATGAATCTCTCGGCAAAGTCACCCGAGGACTGTGACCTCAGCTCCCCGTTGCATGCTGCATCATGCTGCAGCATGCTGCAATGCCGTTGCATGTTTGTTCGGCCATGGCCAGACCAAATTGGCAAGCTGGATCGCTGCTGGGACAGTGTCGGACGTCGGGGAGGGCTGGCAGAGGCTGGCGCCTGGATGGGATGTTGCAGCACAGGTCCCTGCAGCCTCACATGCGGTAGGCTCCTCGAAGAAGATTCGAAGAACAAGAAGAAGTTCGAGGATTTTACTGTACAGAAGGTTTGGGACGAAGCTCATCGGCAATTGGGACTCACAGCTTGCTTGCCTGTGTGCAGCGCGCGCTTATCATGCTTTATGCTGTGAGCTGCGTAAGGAGTTGTTGAAGTTCAACAAAATTGAAGACAAGGCCAAGCAAGCTTGCAGGGCGGAAGAGGATATATAGAGGGGGGAGAGTGGAGAGCCCTTCGCATTCGAGCAGGGTGCCGTGTCCCAGCGAGCAACGCTGGCTGCCAGACTGGCAAATGGCTGCGGCCGCAACTGCCCAGCAGGTGCAAAGTACATCTGCCGCTTGATGCAGCCTGGCGATGTGAAAGCTGAAGCAGCTCATAGGTTTGTATGGCCTCGCTGTTTGCGGTTGACGCCTGAGGTTGGGGCAGAGCTTGGCCATCGGAGCCTCAGAGAAGACTCTGGCTTTGGCCTTCAGACCTCGAATACCAAATGGTGAAAAGCTGCTGGAATTTCAGCACAATTCAGCCTCCCATTCCGAATCATGTTGTTTGGAGTTTCTGCGGACCATACGCAGCATGCAGCACTGCCTCAGACCTTTCGCGCTGGAACTAGCTTGCTCGCCACTCAAATCCTAGGAATGTAATTTTTGTCTTAGTTCCTCTCCACCCTTTCTGGTAACGAAAGGTCGTTGCTCTCCACAGACCTTCCGATTCGCTTTCCTTCTTGCCGTGGAATTGGAATGCATTTTCTAGTGAGTGCTCCTTTCTTCCAGCTGCTCGGTCAGCGCATGTCACGTCCAGTTTCTATTGAGGAGATGCTGGAAGTGAACCCGGACATTGACGCAGTCATAGATGACCTCACATCCCGCAGCGCTGCGGGAGCTTCCAAAGCATCTCGCGCAAGGGCAAACGGCGTGCGCCTCTGGCTTCCCATCTCACCCTCAACTGCAAAACCAGCTGCATCCCCAGCTGATGAAATGTCACTGCATATTGACAGTTGTTCATGTTGTCCCCCGTCCAACTGGGTCTAGTCACTGAGGCAAAGAGTGTCAGCGAGGTGCTCGAGAGGACAAAGACAGGGTGGCCGGGCTGCATGCCAGAAGGCAGTGCCTGTGAGCTTTTGCGGGCCGCAAGCAAGTTAAGGAACAGGCAGCTTTCTGGCTGGAGAGCCGAATGGAAGTACGATGGCGAAAGGTTGCAGATCCATGCAGAAAAACTCTCAAAGAAGAAGATCCGCTACCAGTTATTTTCCAGAGACATTGTCGCACATCAGGGCTTCGTCGTTTGTAGCTGCAGCAACCTATCACTCGCCTGGGCGGGGGTCCAGAGTAATGTTAAATAGGGCGCGAGCTACGGAAAACCCATAGCGGCAAAGGCGCAACACCTGGGCGTAGCAAAGAAGGCACAAGGTCATCACTTGGCAGCACTGATGTACAGAAGCTAGTCCTTCAGAGAACCACATAGATGAAAGGGATGTAGCAGCTAGCCACCCGGGCTTGAAAGCTTGACATTTGCGTGGCAAGGAAATCTGAAGAATGTCACTTCGCGCTTCCCAGAGATCCAGGATGCCCTGCGTAACTGCGCTTTCAAAACGAGCATCATCCTGGATGCGGAGGTTGCTGCGGTTGATGGTGTTCCTAGTCTGAGCTTAGAAGTATGGGCCCCTGATATGGGCCCTTAAGCCACATATGGTATATAGTAGGTGTACAAGGATCCCAGACCTAATGGCCCTTACTAGGGGCCCATGGTTTCAACTTGAAAGCTAGGCTGCATTCCAGGGTTTGTGCATGTCCAGCCAATCTATGACACTGCTTGCCTAGGACAGGATTCTTCCATTTCAGATCCTGGCAAGGCGACCGCGGGAAGCAAGCAAGGACAGCAAGGACTCGAAGCGCTCGGACACCTGGCGAAGGGTTGGACTGCGCAGCGCTGGGCTCTCCGTGCGTGTGCCTTTTTTTGGGTGACGGGATCTTGTCAATATGGATAGACGCTGACTTCAATGTTCCACGGACGGAAGAGTTCCTGAGTCGGGCTTTTGAATCCTCCACAGGACTTGCTTTCGCTACGTCGCTGGAAGCCGCTGTACATCCACTAGGGCATTCTTTCCACTTCCATACTTGATCACTTTCGTGCGTGCATCTGGTTGTGTGTGGAGATAGCTTCCCCCGTGAGCCAAGCTAAGATCCCTTCTTCAAGGATTCGAACTTTGTCATGTTACCATGCAGCGCGATTTTGTGTTTAGCATTCTTGCCCATCTTCTGCCCGCGATCTTTCACAAAATGTTCATCTCACCTTGTCTTGGAGAGCTCTTCGGCAGCTTTATATCTGCAAGCGTGCAAAGTCTAAGGACGTTGCCTTCTTCGCTTTCGATTGTTTGTTCCTAGATGGCCAGTCGCTGATTCGCAAGCCACTCTCGGAGAGACTGGAAATATTGTGTCGTGGCTGCAGGGGCTTTGCTTAGAGATGCAGCTACGCTACCTCTTTACCCCTGGCGTGCACAACCTGGTGTCACCTAAGGCCAACAATCCCGCCTAGCAACGTGAGGGCAAGAGATTCGCAAAATGGTAGTATCAATCACCATAACGTACTCAAGATGCCCTCAGCCTCTGAATCGAATGCTTCATGGGAACTTGTGTGAGGCAGAAGGCGGCAAAGTCCGCCAAGCCGAGCCGCTTGAAGTTGGCCGAGGGCCGAAGCTTTGAAAGCGAGCAAGAGCTGCAGCTGCTGGGATGATTTGCGCTCAATATTGTGAATGGTGAAGTTTGTAAATAGGTTTCTTGCAGCAAAATGAGGAGGCGGTGGAGGAGGAGCAAAGGGGAGGAATGTCCAGTGTTCTAAGCTGCAAACGCTCGGGTGCAGAAAACCGGCTCGCATGTACGATGCGTTGTCAGCTCCTTGCAAGTCCTTGCAGTTTGAGCGGGCCAAGGAACGTCCTTGATGAGGCGATCATGTCTTCTACAGAGGGGCTGATCCTGAAGCAGCTGGACGGAGTGTACCAGACCCTCAGCTGGATTAGCCTGCAAACTGCAAAGCCAAACTTTCTCACATCGATCCAGCTGGCAATTTGGGTTTATGTGTGGATTTGGTTCGGTTGCCAATTAGGCAGCTTCACAATCCGTAGTCACATCGTTCTTGCAATGACCGGGCCTGACGGTCTGAGAGCCTGATAGTCAAGGGGGGGTACAAACAGGCGCGGGGTGAGTTTGGAATGCACAGGGCCAACCGACACAGCCTTCGGATCCCGAAATGGCTCCCGGTAGACCCAGGCGATTTGTCCGTCATGTCGGCATTTCAAGGATTGGCTTAGAGAATTTGATTGGGAAACGTGTTGCACGGTCCCTGAAGAGTCCTGGTTGCTAATATTTCTAGTGGAGCATCATGGAGTGTGCGGCCGCGGTCAAGACTGAATAAGGCCAGGAATCAGAACTTCCAAATGGCTGAAGCTGAAAAAGGCCAGGTCCTGTTGTTGTACCTTTGCCGAAGTAGACGTTAGATGCGGAGCGCACCAAGAACAGGACTACCTGGACAGCGCGCTGAGCTCCTCGGTGCTCAATATTTCAAGTGTGCAGTCAGGCGTGTCTCATCCTGTAGACAACGGAGGAGTCACAGAGCGATCTCTAACAAAGGTGACTCCATCGATGCTGTGGTGGTTGCAGCGAAGCGAGGAGTTGGAAGAAGAAGCAGCGTTTATGGATCCTACTTGCTGGCCGTGAGGCTTGAAACCTGCTCTGTAGACAAACCGTGATTCTTGCCACTTTTGCTTGGTCTCTCACTTGTCATGTATTGTCAGCTCCGCAGGGTTGCCGACAAGCGTCGTAAAGCCAGATTCCAGACTTTGTGCGCCGTTGGCACGGGCCTCACAGATCAGGACCAGGTTGAGAATCCTTTTGGACTCCCATGACTCCCTAGTTTCTTCAAGCAAGTCCAGGAGCTTGAGGAATATTACGACCTCTGCCAACCCTTAGTGGCCGACGATGGCTCAGTGCCTGCCTGTTTGCAGACATTCTTGGCCGGGGCCATGCTTACAGAGTGATGGCCCTAGATGTGTTCTGTGCATAGCTGCATAGACACCAAGCATCATGCGCTGGATGGGGCTGAGGTGGCAGTGGATCTCCGACATTTCCAAAGCGCCTGTGATGGAGCCTTTTTACGTAATCCAGCGAGAATTCTGTCCTGCATGCTTTGAACAGTTGAACCTGACACTTTGGAGGATGCAGCTGCTCTAACCTGGCAGTGTTGTCTAAGGAGATTACTGGGGCTGACATCACCATCTCCCGATTGCACTCCTGTGCTGCCGGACGACTGCGGGGTGTTGGAGCGGCGGACAAGGAGAGGGGGGCAGCGAGGATAACTTACGAAACATTGCACAAACTCCAGAAACACGATCAGCAGTACCGAAGTACTCAAGCAAAAAACAGAAGGGGTTCGATGAAGACAGCCAACCGCTTCATCAGGGGATGACATGTGAGGGACATTATATCAGCACCTTCCCCTCTCATCATGCTGTAAAAGTCCCAAGGACATTTTGTTTAAAAGGTAAATCTCGCATTCATCATCAATGAAGCGGAGAGCCTCAGTCTCAAGGAGATTTTCTCAATACCTGCCCCTATTATCATCCAATGATTTGGACATGCACAGACTTAGGACGATTGATGTTCGGCGCAGCATTGCAAAGCCAACCCTTTTCATCATGCAGTGACATGGAGAGGCACATCCTCAGGCATGTGTCAGAACCTACCTCCCTCATTACGCGATGAACTTGGATTGGGGCTCCCGGATCCCTTTCCTGAGAATGCCTCTCCTGTTTCCATCAGTCGCGCTCGATTAGGACTCCTGGCGATTTGAGTGTGTTGGATTGCAGGACAGCGGCCTGGCTCTGCGTTTTCCTCGCGTCTTGCGATTACGGGACCCAGATGACAAAAGTCCTGCGTCGCTTGTCTTTTCTCAGTGAAGCCAGCCCTGGCAGGCAGGCAGGCAGGAAAGAAAGATGCAGGTGCTCATGTTCCCAGGCAAGCAACGACTGCAGAGCAAGTCCTCGACATGTACAATAAGCAGCCAGCCAGCGCGGAGCTGCCAACACAGCGGCGTACGGGTGCAAAAACGACCGTTGTGCTTTGTGCATCATGCATCTGGGCCTGGACTAAATTTTGTTCCAATATGTTGCTACGGCCATAAAGAGGCTGGTTTCCTGAATCCACTTCACCTCCCATTACGCCAATTCCCCAGCAACGATGCATGAGGCCAACGAGGCTTTTGGGATTCATCATGATGAGGGAACTTGTCGGAACGCATAAGCATCATACTTGTCTGAAGAACTGGTCGATCCTTCAGTTCATTCGCTCTTGCTATGGAGGTCCTCTACAGAACTATTGTGAGGAAGCCCGCATTCGCCCTCGCCTAGGGCCTAGGGCCCAACTCTGACCTATGTGTCTTGCTGAGGCTACCGATTCCGTGACTGCCAAGGCACGGTGCTTTCCGTTCAACGAGCCTACTTACTACTTTGGGGTTCCTTGAGGACTGGAACTGCGCAGCTCTGCCCGCCAGGAGAGGCCGACGCGCAAGGCTTTTGTGTGGGCCGTGCTCATCGACCATCAGAAAGGCACGAGAGTAGAAGCAAAGCAGCAAGCATGGGCTGCTGTTGCAACGCGTGGTTGACAGGCAGTTTGTCGCTGAGGCCAAAATTGTGTAGCTCTGCGCTAGTAACGCTAGTAGCTGCTCTCAACTTGTGGACTTGTGGAGCACATGCGCTGTCAGGTGCTGAAGAGGTGGCCAGACTTCAGGCCCCTCCACATACATTCCAGACGGGTCTTTCGGCACGGCCTGACATTGCTGGAAACTCAGCTTTTGTTGACGGGCTCTAGAGCTCCCAGGCAGGCCCTAGAGAGGAGAATCAGCGTTATCGTTGATGTATACAAGGTTGATGCTGTGCTTTGGTTCAAGGATCGAACTTGCCTTCTGTTTCTGCTGTCTTGCTTCCTTGCTTCAGGCTGCAGCGTGGTGACCTCCTAGGGCCTGTCAGACTGGCGTACTTAGACTGCGCTGTGAAAGTTTTGTGCGTTCCAGAGGAAGGCTCTTGACAGGGGGGGCATCATTCAAACAAGGATTGGATGTTTGGAGTCATGGTAGAACGCCTACACTGAACCTTGCCAGGACAACCCAGATGGAACCTTCTGAGCCCTACTGGATGCAGGCAGAAACAGTACCGAACTGCCTCGTATTTGGCGAGGATGGCAGATCCCAGCTGCCGCCGTGGTTGCTCTATCTTACCTGTCGCATGTTTTTTTTGGCAATCGCTCCACAATTTGTGGCTTCAAACGTGGGGTAGGGTGTGTCTTAATGCACTGCATGTAACGCTGACAACCCTTTGGCAAGCAGGGCCTGAAATACGTCCCGAGCCGTGGGCTTCACCTTCAGAGCATGTCATTTGTGGCAAAGGCAGCACATGACAGGGTCACTGGCAGAGGAACAGCACAAGCACATTTGTAGAGCCCACATCCTTGCGATGAGCTGTGGCGGCGAGCCCTGACATGCACGCATTCTGGAGCTTCGGTTTCTCAAGCGGGGAAGACACCGCTTCAAACTTGGAGTCGAAGACCGAAGATGTTGTCACCCAAAAAGGCTATGAGACGCCTCCAACTTTGGGTTCTCTGCCTTGGCAGAAGGGCCGCAGTTGGGCAAGCAGCGTTCTCGAGACCTTCCGGGTGGACACCCGAGGTCCGAAGTCACCCAGTGAGGACGACTTGAGCTGCGAGAGCTCAAGTCTTGAGGCCTTTCGCAGTCTAACGCGCCGGGCTCATCAACTGCTGGCCCGACAACACCACAGGGCTTTAGTAAGCCGAAGAGCGGCAGCCCATGAGAATTCCTACGCCACCGAAAGGCTTAGTCTTGCACTCGCAGAAGCAGAAGAGCTGGAAGAGGTTTTGAAGCAGCACAGTCGAGCTGTTGGGGGGGAGGACCATGGCAGCCCTTCGGACGCCTTGTGCGATGCTGAAAGGCTCACCATGTCTGGCTGGTCAACTTCTGCAGGGTCATCAACGAAACCAAGTGAGCTGCTCTGCAGATGGGAATCCGAAGATGCAGAGGCACGACAGGAACTGGAGTCTCTCCGCGCAGTGATGTCGCAGACAGCTGGTGAACTCCGGTCTGGCTTGCTCCGCCTATCCTTTTCCTCGCCAGAGCAGGGTGACTTGGATGCGGCTGCGGGCAATGCTAGCTTGTGCCAGGTCTTATCAGCTGCCCTTCCGCAGCTTGTTCAAAGCTGCGCCGATGCAATGGAAGTAGGCAGCAGTGAAGATGATTGGGCAGGAGCCGAGGCCAGTTTGTTTGAAGCCTTGGCACAAGTGACGTCGGCGACTTGCGACTCCCCGTCGGACCTGGACTTCCAATTGCAAGAAGATGCGTTTCCTCACGCAAACGTTAGCACCACCCCCGAGGAGCAGCGCGATCAGGCAGCGCTGCAGAAATTACTGAAGAAGCTCGAGGCTCTCAGTCAGCGTCTCGAGCTCGAGGCCGCGGAGGACTCTCATTTGAGAGGCCGGGTTGTCAGTGGGCCTGGAGGGCCTGCAGAGGTGCGCCATCCGCGGCTCTCGGAGCTTGAGGCCCAGGTGCAACGTTTGGTGGCCGAGAACCAGGCATTGGAGGAGCAGTTAGCTCCTCAAACAAGACGCCCTGATCCTCAGCAGCCTTTACTGCCCCAGCCACTGGAACGCCCAGTACCTGGCCGCGACACAGGCAGGGTTGTGGGATGTTGTGGGAAGCGTTGAAGCTTGCAGCCTTGCAGCGTCCAGGACGCAGGCTGACTCCGGGAGCAGCTTGGCTTGCAGACAGGATCCGTGTTTTTGGTCTGCCTTGGTGGGGAACCTGGAACAGCTTGAGGAACGAGTCGCCCTGAGCAACAATGTCCGGCAAAGAGGTGCGAGATGTCCGCCATCGTTTCTCTTTGCGTCTATCTCAATTCTCAATCGCTCTTTCTCTGCACTTTACATCTCTCCCTCTCCCTGAGATTCCCTCAGATTCCCGCAGCATGCAGAGTGTTTTTGTCACTTGGCACCTGGCAGGTCAAAGGCACAACTCTGCAACGTGTAGACCTCGGGCCTCCCGAGTCAGTCCCGGAGGACCAGCATGTTGTGAAAAAGTCCACAGCATGGATCTGAGGGAATTCTGACGCAGAATGACAAATCAGAGCCATATCATATCGTATGAGACACTGATTGAGACGTACATGCATTGCTTCCACAAAGTCCTGGAGCTCCAAGGCTTGGCTCCGACAGGGTGGGAAACAGCTTCCGGCCAACAAGGCCACGCAAATGGCCACGCAAATCTGGGACAGAGGGAAATGCGGCATTTTAGCACGCTGCCGTCTGGCGAACCAATGCATCTGGATATCTCTCTCTCTCTCTTCTCTCTTTTCTCGCGGCAGGCAGGTGATACATCACTTGCGTGCCGAGCTCGCAGATGCCTATGAGGCCATGCTTGATACGTACTGTGTTTGATGTTCGCAAAGCTGACGGGTAAAGCAGGCGTTGGCTTTGAGAGCCAGGCCCAAGTCTCAGCAACTGTGCTGAGCACCTGAGGCCAACATCCGAACAGGCCCCTGAATGACCAAGGTCATCAGGCGTCTTGCAGGAGACAGCGCTTCTTGTGGCAGGCACGAGCTTTGACATTGAAGAGCTAGCTAGATGCAGCTAGATGACAAATGGGAGCCTTTTGCTGCCGAGGCAAACCGGTCACGGCCAGCGCAGAAGATCCTGAGGCTGGAACTTCTTCACGCCTTGCGCCTTGTGCCTTGTGCCCATGCATGTTTGCACTTCCTGTTTGAACGCGCTGAGAAGTGAACGCGCAGTTTGCTCGAGCCAGCTTCCAGCACTGGTCTGAGAGAAGCGAAGTGCACTCTGGCGTCCCGTGTTAATGGCAGCCCTCTCCCTCGCGAGCCCCAGCAGCAAGCCAGCTTCGTGGACACATGTAAATGACCCTGCCGAATGTCCTCGAGGCTGGCAAGGTCCTCATCGGCTGGAATCTCTGCCAACCTTCAACCTTTCAGGCCGGGATAATCATGTCCGGAAGCAGGGCTGAGTTGCTTGATGTGTATACAGGCCCGAAAAGGATCACACGAACGCATGGAAGCCTCAATATCCAAGAACCGTAAGCCATGAAACTGTGAAACCTACATTCGCCCCAAACACCCGAGGCCCTAAACTTTACAGCCTTCAGCGCGCGTACAACCACGCAGGCCGAAAGGCCTCAGCAAACCAATTTTTTCAACCATATTCCGCCCTAAACAAGACCTGAGCGCTCGCACTCAGTGCGCATCATGCAACTGGTGGATCATGTGAGTGAAGCACAAAGCAGCCAAGCAGTTGTTGAACACAGAGCATTTGTCTCGAGTGTAGTTGTATCAGCTCAGCCTCATCCCAGCAAAAACAGGTCAACGAACGACACATCTAGTAGGCTTTGAAAAGGGTGCAGACTGCAAACGCTCCAGATAAGGGGCCTATACTTGCACCATTGTTTCATGGGGCGCTCGCCAGACTTGGGCAAATACACATGCTGGTGATGCAGGCTCGCGCCTGAACGGGTGGGGGTGTTGCCGGCGGCGCGGGGCAGCCCAGTCCGAGCGGGCCAGCAGCGCGAGAAGCCCAAACCGTAGCATTCCAACATACTTCCACCTTTTTCCACCCTGTCCAGGTCAGAGGCGGCTCTGCGGCCCGGCTACGGGAGCCGCCTTTGCGCTGTCCGCGCTGACTCGGGCAGGCCGACGAGGACCCAGTAAAACGCAGCTGAGTAATGCTGTGATCAGGCCCTCGGCACGTCTTGGTTCTTCTCGTTCCTTGGCCCAGGAGCTGTCATGCCCATGCGGGCCTCGAGCTTTGGGTCTCTTGAGCCTGAAGTATTGGCTGCAGTGGAGGCCAAGATGGTTCCTCAGTGCATTCTGCCTCAGTGCTTGATGACTGCCAGGTTGTCCAGCGCTCCATGCAGCCCCTCGGTCTCATGTGGTGGAAATCTTGCAGCCGAAAGGATTTCACAGTGCTCATACCAACGGAAGGTTGGTACAAGCGCTGGCTTGCGATATGGACGTTGCTCTGCCAAACTTACGTGATGATAGAGGGAAAGACAAGACGACTAAAGGAGTCAGCAAGTGAGGGTGTCCTTTCTGGCTTTGTGAGAGGAGGCAGAGGGCATGTTCCGCTCTGCCAGCCCTACCGTCGAGCAACAAGATCTATCAAGCCTCAGCACGCCTCCTGGACATAAGACCCAGATAAATGCACAGAAACCAGGCAGCCCAACATCTAACCTGGACCCTCAATGGACACCAGAAGCCCGTGCGCGTCTACAGATCCACATGCCACATGCTGTAGATTCTTTTGATCGACTTCTGAAGCTTGATTTCAACTTGCTTGTGATGAAAGGTTGCTCCGCCATCGCTGGGGAAGGAGATGGAGGCGTGTGACGTGACGGCTGGCATTTCCGCCATCAAGCCAGGCATCTGTTCACATCATCGACAGGGCTTGTTTGTCCAGCATCTGGCTCAAGACATCGTCCTAGAAGTGCGTGTGCAGGTGACTCGACGCCAGTAACTGCGGCGGACTACGCCATTCAGGGCCTTGTTTTTGAGTATTTGCAGAGGAAGCTGCTTGGCAAGTGCAACCAGAGCTGATAGACCTGCATCGGTCCGGGCGCCATGGCGCGAGCGCCTGATACCCTGGCTGAGGTTCCCTGCAGACAGGCTTATGGGAGAGGAAGATGCGGGAGACCTTCACGCTGATCCTGATCTCTGCCAGCTGGCACTAGCAGCTCGGACATGGTATCCATGTCAGAATTGATAGGTTGTGTCTCTCTTCCGTGCTGGTAGTCGAGGAGCTGTGCTCGAAGTTCAGACTCCTGGCAGGCAACTAGAGCTTTTGCATTTCCAATCGCGTAGAAGCAAACTCGCTCGCCCACCTTGTGCTTGCGCAAGTGCTCCATCTGAGGTGAGACAACCATCATGCGGGAGCCCTTCTTGGCTGCTGTGGATGCAGGGATGGCACCCTCTGGCGACAGTGACAATGGTCGTGTCTGGGTAAGCTCAGCAGCTGTTTCAGGGACTGATGGCAAGCTGCTCATGCGTTGTTCCAGCCAGGTTCTGGACCCAATCGATGGCACCAAGGGCTTCATGACAGGCCAGGGATACATGATTGGCTTGTCGCTCTTGGTGGATGGGGAAGTGATCATGGGAGTGATGGGCATCCTGGCTGCACCTTGTACTGTGCAGGTTTCCGGGGTCAGGTTGCTCAGCACTGAAATGAGAACTGTTGCAAAGCCCACCAGAGAGATGCTAGCTGTTCGCAGCTAAGGCTGCATCCGTTGCCAGGATGTTCCGCCCTAGACAGTGTCACATGCTCACCACCTTCAAAATTAAATCAAGCACGTGTAGTGTGAGCGTTGCTCTGTGTATAGCAGGATTGGCCAAACCACGCGCATACCCAATGCAGTGCCAATTTTAGTCGGGACGAGTGTAAACCTGCAAGAATCAGCAGGACGCGCGCCCGCTTGTATCCTCTCAAGAATCAAAGCACTCATTCCCCCAAGCCCGCATGCACCTGCGCTCGGTGGCTCTACTTTGTCTGTGCTGGTCTTGGCTTTCTGAGAGGACCCACCCGAGGTTGGTCCTAGAGGAGGTCGTGACTCTTCGTCAAGAGATCCAGGAGGCCAGAGAAGTGATCCACACTTTCCAGGCGGGGGTCAGTGGCTGCGAGTGGAAAAACTGTGGGCTCAGGATTGGGCGCTCAGGCTGTCAGGGGCCTTGAACCTCTTCCTCTTGACGCTCCTGGTTCTTCAGTGTGCGGCTCGCAGAGCTTCTTCTCCGGCTGTGGGGCCGGCTCTGGAGGACAGCGTCGAGGAGGAACCGGAGGGCGAAGCTTCCAAGGAGGAAGCCTCTGAATCCACCTCCTTGGCAAGTGCGTCAGTGCTGGACCCATCTCCTAGGACTAGTGCGGCTTCAAGCTCTTCTCGGAGGCGGCCTACGAGACGCTCGGACCTTCGGAAATGGCGGACCTCACCTTAGACATTTCTGAAGTGCAGATAGTGGTTCACTATCCAGGGGATGAGAATGGTTTTCTCTGGCATCACAGGATCCTCTTGCACCGCATAGCCGGGGGAACCTGGCTGACTCTTACTCCGGATTTGGAGATACAGCGGCATGACCTGAACGTGCTCAGGCACAGAGTCCTCAACCGAGCAGGGCCATTTCCTGGAGATATCGCCGGCGAGATCTACGCGCACGACCCCATTGGAGCAGCGGCTTTGGCTGGCTACAAGCGGGAGGCGCAGATCCAGGCGACAATTCTTGGGGAGGGCGACGTTGAGAACATTGAGGCCTTCCAGTGGGTCATTGCAGAGGCAGGGCGCCAGGACTTCGGCAACGTTGTGGACGGAGCTCTTCTCGGCAACGAGGCGACCAGCCTGGCTTTCATGCAGAAGGGCGTGGTGATCCTTAATGGCGAGGAGCTGTTCGTCGAGAGGGTCATGAGTCGTGATCTGCCTGACTGGCGGAGACAGAAGGGCCTTGACCTCAGTGATGTTCGTTTGCTCGGTGATCATCGCGACGCAGCTGGCAAGAAGCGACTGGACCTGAAGGGGGCCGTGGCCTTGATGAGAAGCACCGAGGACAAGGAGTTCCCGATCCATGGCGTTCAAGCCGCGAAGGAGTTCCATGACTCCGTGGCGGCGAGTGCGGGCGAGTTCCTTGTCTACCATTCTGAGTGGGTCAGGCTTTCAGGCGTCAGCAAGAAGACGAGCGCGGCACACATCCACCGAGCACTCTGCGAAGCCCTGAGGCTGATGCATTCCTTTGACCAGGTCGACGTGAGCACCTTGGCCAGTGGAGAGCATTTGACCAGATGGCTCATCCAGACGGAGTTGGTGGTGGAGCGGAATCCTCAGCAGCCTGACTTCAGCGGCCTTGACATCATCAGCGGCGCTGCTCAGCTACCAGACGGCAGGGCCAGTACCTCGAAGTTCACTGATTGGGTGTCGAACCGGCTGAAGGAGAGGGCGGCCACATGGAAGCAGGAGCGCCTTTACAACCAAGAGAGGCGGCAACTTCGAGGACCTCGCGGAGGACGTGGTGAGCATGGCGACTCGAGCGACGACGAGGAGCACGAAGGCCTTGTTTCGGAAGAAGAAGAAGAAAAAGAAAGGAGGAAAGGGGGAAGGAAGTGGCGGCGCAACCGGCGCCACGGAGACCAAGTGATGGTCGCAGAAAGGGGGGGGGGGGCTCCGCCGGGGCGAAATGGCCCGGCCCTTCCCTGGACACTTCGGCGGATGCGTGGCCAGAACTCAGTCTTCGTGCTCCTTCGCGAGATCGTCGGCGCGGAGACCCTTTTCCTCTTCCCCGGCTTCCTGCGAACTTTGAGGACCAGGACCTGGGACGAGCACGGCGGCTACGGCGGGTTGATTGCGCTTTGCGGTCTTTAAACGTCCTCGCCGCCGCCGACACCAAGAAAGCCAGTTTTGGGAGGATGCCTCTCACAGCGGTTCAGCGGTGGGTCTTGGAGGACGTCTCGCGCCGGATCGACCAGTACGGTGACTGCCCCCTCGACATCGCCGAGCACACCGCCATGGCAGACCTCAACCAGCGAGCCAACCAACCTGTGTGAGCAGGAGGCCGGGCAGTTAGTTCCTTTTGAGTTGGACAAGGTGAAAGTTCTTCAACGTCGGCTGCAACCGCAAGACGCCCGAGGGCTGGCACCCTTGGAAGTCCAGTGCTACATCGACCACTTCTCCGAGTTGGTGGAGCGCCCGGTGGCGGAGCAAGAAGGCCTTCGAGAGACGGGAGCTTTGGTGGAACCGTACTGGGACACGCGACTTCGACGAGATCGGGCGTTACGGCTGGATCTTTATCGTGCGCTACATCGGTGCGGACTGCTGGGCTTCTGCTTTAGAAGGAAGGCTCGGGCCGGGCTTTTCACCGTGAAGAAGAAGAATGGGCTTCAGCGACTGATTGTGGATGGCCGCCAGGCTAACGCTCAACACAGGCCTCCGCCTACGACACGTCTGAGTACGCCTTCGGGGCTTACGTCTTTGGACCTTTCGGAGACCACGCTCCTCGGCAACGGCTTCGGCGACTACGACGCGAAGACGGGCGAGACCAGAGTGCAGCCTTCGGCCGAAACAGGTGATGTCGCGGATTGTTTTTATAACTTCACTATTCCTGCCCTTTCAGGTTGGTTTGCCTTCGATGACGCTTTCACTCGAGACGAGCTGTACGACCTCGACATCGACCCCGGCGACGTTTACGACCACGACATCGGGAAGGCGCGGGAGATTCAGATGGGCTTCATTTATGGGTGTTCCGATGGGGTGGAGGTGGGCTCTCTACATAGCCAATGAGATCGTGGCCTTCCAAGCATCCAAGAGTAGTTCTCAACCTCGAGTGGACGAGATCCGAGACAGGCGGCCGGCTCCTCAGGTTCTCCCCGAGCAACCATCCATCGGCGTGTACGTGGACAACATTCTCACGTTTGGAGGCAGGCTCGGGGACGCAGGGAGGCGCGTGGACAAGGTGGCGGACCACTTCGCGGACCTTGGCATTCCGTTTGTCGTGGACGATGTCGAGGAGGACCTCTGCGTGGAAGGACTCGGACTCTTCATGGACTTCAGGCAGGGCGCGAAGGCACGAGGAAAGGTCGAGAGGGCATGGAAGTTATGGCACGCGGCGACGAGTGTCAGGACGAGTACTACGAGTGTGGCTGGGCCTTGTCAACTTCCATTTCCAACTTTTCAGGCCTTGTCTTTCGGCGCTTTCATCGACCTACAAGTTCACCATCGAGCATCTACATCACCGAGCCCCGCTTTGGGATTCAGTCCGGCAGGAGCTACGCGTGGCACTCGGCTTAATCTTCTTGGTGGAATGGGACATGGCATCCCCTGTCTGCCCGGAGGTACACATCGGCGACAGCTCGGACATGGGCTACTCTCTGATGGTCACGCGCGCCTCGGACCTCGAGATCAGGAACGCCCTGACATATCGGGAGAAGTGGCGATTCGAGAAGGACGACCCGGCGGTCGAGCACATCGTGGCGAAGGCTGGGCACGGCTACGACGAGGGCAACCACGGCGCTGTTCCGGACGCAGGAGTCGGCTCACGCACGGAGTACGGCCGGACCTTGGCAAGGAAGGCGGACGAGTACTACCTCAGCCCTCTTTTTCGAGCACGACGCAGCCGGATCCTGGAAGCCGACGCGACCTACGACGAGGCGACCGACTTGAACGAGGACGTCCCACGAAAGCCCGGACATGGAATCTCAGAGCTCAACCATAGCTGGGATCGGACCCAGCGATGGAACCTCATTGTGGCAGGACCCTGGCAGCGCACTTCGGAGCACATCAATTTGAAGGAGGCTCGAGTGTGCCTCATGGGACTTCGACGTGTTTGCCGCTCGGTTCAAAACATGGCCAAGACCGCTCTCACCATCACGGACAACTTGGTCAGCTGTCTTGCCTTCGAGAAAGGCAGGAGCCGAGCTACAGCCCTCAACAAACTGTGCCGGCGAGCTGCAGCTTACCAACTTGCATGCAGAGTTCAATGGCGACTCCGGCGCATCAAGTCTGAGAGGAATGTTGCCGACGGACCCTCCAGGATGTGGGGGCCTGACTTTCCGGCTCACGTCAGCGTCGACTCCTTCGAGCTCGGTTGGTCTCCAGCGACGTCAAGTACCCATCCTCTTCCTCCACCGCGCGGTGACCATCACGGAGGGCAAAAGGCCTACTTCCTCGAGATTTTTTCAGGCACGGCGCGACTCTCGGCGGCGATGGCGGCAACAGGTCTCAACATCCTCCCGGACATCGAGATCGCAAAGGGCAAGAACTTTGACGTCATGCGACCGTCGTGCCAGCGGACTCTCCTACGTTGGCTGAAGGAAGGCCGAGTTTGGTACGTCCACTTTGGCACCCCGTGTTGTGTGTGGAGCAGAGCGCGGCGCAACATACGAGACTGGCGGCGAGCTCGGCAAAAGGAAACTTTGGGAGTTGGACTTGCTTTGTTTACGGCCAGGGCTCTCAGGCTTTGTTTGGCATTAGGCATCAAGTTCAGCGTTGAAAGCCCGCAAAGTAGTCGACTTTGGGAGTTTGGGCCCATCAATGACATCCTTGCTCACAAGTCCGTGTACCTCATGACAACTCACATGTGTGCATGGGGGATGAACTACAAGAAGCCTACTAGTATTATGACAAACTTTGAAGCGCTTCTCCAACTTCAAGCACGTTGCAAGGGAGGTCATGTGCATGAGCAACTTCGTGGAAGCCAGACTGTAGAGATTGACGGCAAGCGCGTCACGCGCAACCGCACGGCAGCAGCAGGAGCTTACCCTTGGCTTCTTTGCGAGGCTTGGGCTCGAGTTGTCAAGCAGGAAGCCCCAGCAGCCCTCGAAGTGCCGGCGGATCGAGCTCACAGACACGCTCCGCCGGATGCCTCAGGAGACGATTGCGCGGGTGACTTCGAGACGGACGGCGACAAGTTCTACCTCCGCTACGTCAAAAAAAATACACCCGCACCCACCCCATTGTCTTCGGCCAGTTCGACGCCTTCGACATTGCGAAGCTATCTGGCTACCACAGTCGCAGGACAGAGGCGAAAGCGGAAGCCGCGAACCGCACCAGGGGGAGGGCAACTTCCTGAGCAGCTTCGACTACGAGCACAAAAAGTTTCACAGAAAACCCTTACGGCTTACCACAACCACATAAGAAGCTTTGAGGATTGGGTGCGGCAGCGGAGGCGGCGGGTCACCAAGGCCAACCTAGACAAGCTTGTGACTTCCTACCTCACCTGGCTTTCGGAAGGCGAGGAGACAGACCCTTCAGCTGGCGCCTACCTCGTGTACGGGCTTCAGCTCCTACGTTGTTCAGTCCCCAAAAACAGTTTCCTGGTGAACGCTAAGGAAGCTCTAGCTGGCTGGAAAAAGCAGGCACCGGGGCGCATGCGCATGCCTGTGCCTGAAGAGTTTGTCTATGACCTGGCAACCCACGCACTGGAGATGGGCCGCTATGACGTGGGCATGGCGATCCTTCTCCTGTATGACGCTTACCTGCGACCCTCCGAGCGCCTTGGGCTCACGCTTGAGCATCTGGCTGCACCACAAGGCTCACGCTACAAGCACTGGGCCATAGTGGTGGCCCCTTCGGCACTTGACGAGACCACCAAAACAGGTGAAGTGGACGACTCTGTCTTGGTGGCCGACCTAGGCGACCGAGATTGGCTACGGCATGCCATGACGGCATGGGTTGCTCGCTGCTCTGAACCCTTGTTTCCAAAGCTCACCTTGGCACGTCTGGAGCATTTCTGCAAACAAGCCTGCCACGACCTCCTTTACAAGAGCACTTGTATTATGCCTCACATTCTTCGACACAGTGGTGCCTCTAATGATGTTTTTCACAAGCGCCGAAAGCTGGAAGAAGTTCAAAAACAAGGCCGTTCGCAGGCCAAAAAGAGCGTGGCTCGCTACGAGAAACACGCACTGCTCCAAAAGCGCTGGCAAGAAGCTGCTGGACAACGACTTGGGTCCATCAAGAGCAGATCTCAGCAGCTGCCGCAAACACTGCTGCAGCATCTGCGATGACCGGCATGGCCAAGCTAGAAGACTGGACTGGAATGGGATATGTTGAAGTCTGAGGGCCCTCTGGCCTGGCAAAGCTGATAAATTAGCTGCGCCTGCTGGAGGTTCCTTTCCGTACAGTTTGGCTTCTTCCTCAGCTCAGGCCCGACTACAACTGTGCAAGGCTGCATGGCAAAAGGAGCCTTGCTCGCTTCGCTGGGCGCCTGAGGCCGGGGCGAGTTGTAAGGTTTGGATCTATTGCACTACCATGGCCGAAGAAGTCTTGTTTGGAGCCACTGCGCAAGAAGGTTCCTGCTGCAAGCTAAGGCAATCCCAACGCAACTCGGCAAATTAAGTCAGCGTTAGAAGAAACACGACAAGACTTGAGGACGTCAGAAGTGTTTTCGCGCCCAGGCGGTGACCACTCCGCCCATCATGCTTGCAGTGCCTCGGCGAGGGTTTCGTTGCTAAATGTGAGGCAGCAGAGGGTGTGCAGGTCAAGGGCCAAGGCCTCCACTGGTGGCCTGGCGAGGGCACAGGCCCGCTCGACTTCGAGCCCCCCAAGCCAAACTGGGCAGCGCAAGGCTGGAAAGACATCTTGCGCAAAAGAGTAGGTTTGTGCCTCTGTGATGACTTGAATCATCCATGGCTTGTCAGACTTCCCGTTGCTTTCTTCGGCAATGGCAGAAGGCCTGCAAGTTTCACCAGCTCGTGGAGACCTGCTTTGCTGAACACCGTTGTGAGGCTGCGACTATCCGCCATGGCTGTTGTCTCCGCAGAGCACGCGGGATGCCTGCAGGCACTGGCTAAGACTGGCCATTAGTGAGTTCTCTGCCGCCTGCTGTGCTGGGTTTTAGTTGTAGGCCATTTGGTGACGCCCCGGCGTCGGACCTGTGACGCGGCTTGAGCTGGTGTGCAGCACTTGCAGCAATACCCACCGTGTTGTGATCTTCAGTCCAGCTGTATCGAGTAGAGATTTGTGGCGTGGAGCTCTAGCATTTTAGCTGGGTTCATCCGCACCCTTCCTCCACGCTTCTGGTTGGGTGCCTCAATATGATGTATCTGGGCCATGAGAGGCCTTTTCCGAATTCCTTTTCTGTTGTTGAATTGATGTGAGGTGCTGTGGATCGATGGTGAAATACTTTGCAGTGGCCGTGGGAACTCATTGTGGATATGTTTCTTGCAAGCCAGAAGTTCAAGGTCTTGCAGGTCCTAAGCCCTAGGCTTGCGCAATGTTTTTGCGCTCGCCGGTGAGGTACAGTATGAGGAGCAATTGAAGACTTGGGATCATGCCTGCCGCTTGGCGACAGGAACAAGTGTTGCTTCTTGCTGCAGCACTGCGCGCCCTCCAAACTGTTCAGATTCTTGCTTCATCGGCGTCGTTCAATTGCCATGTGACAAGAGGGGACTTCAGGTGGCATCATCTGCGTCCAAGAGTCTGGGGGTGCTGCATCTGTCACAGACGCGGCCAACAAGCATGTGCTCGGCTGAGTCAAACGCACCTCCAGAGCCCGGCAGCCTTGCACATTTGTGCACTTCGACCAGGTCACCTTCCCTGGACGACACTTGACCTCATCAGAGCCTTTTCCCTGCTGCGGGCAGGTGTTTCTGGCCTTTTGAGTAGCTCAGGCAGGTTCTCCGTGCACGGTGGCATCGTTTCATGCTCGCGCTGGTGTACGCCACAGATGAGAAAGCTGCTGATAGAGGTGAGACATTTGCCGTAGATGTCATGCGGAAATATCTCTTCCAGCCTGTTGGTGAGGCAGCTGCTGGAAATGCGTTATAGAAATCGATACATCTGATATGGTGCCAAAGAAGCACCCCAGCAATGCATAGAACTCCTAGGTCCAAGTCATGGCTGGCAGAAAGCGCCGCCCCAAAGTTGGGCTTGTGCACCCTGTCCAAAGCATTCACAGCCTGTTGGTGATGCCATGTTTTTCGTCAGGAAAAGAAGGGATACACAGTCTAGCCAGCAGACATGGCGTGCTTCCAGATATTGCGGCCGCAGCTCTATTGCAGGTGCCCGATGTTGCAGCAATCGTTTTTAGCAGCCCGCCGCAGCAGCCTCAGACATCAAGATGAATCCGTGCCTTTTTCACGATGGACAGCTGGCATGCACTCCTGTTTAGACTGAGCTGCTTCTCGTTCGTTTGGATCGTGTTTCGTTGCAGTGTGCTAAGGTGACGTGGTGCGACTTCGTAATTGTTCCGGAATTATGCTAAATGATTCTCAGGGGCACTCCAAAAGAAGAGCTGCCACTGCTACTAGGATGTTAGACGTGCATGACCGTGGAATCTGCCAAAGCCAAAATTTGCGGAGTCCTGTTCATTTTCCGTGCGATGCTTGTCTTGAAGTCTCCTGATGCTCCGTGCTGCCTCCCATCCGGTGCAAAGCCCACCATGCACCTTCTGGGCTCAAGAGTCGATGACAGGAATGCAGTCAGCCAATTCCAGATGGCCAAACCTTCCAGTGGTGGGACGGAATGTTCTGAACCCCGCAAAACTGCCCATGACACAGTAAATGATGAGCAGGGGCTGCAAAAGAAGTGCACTTGCCAGCGATGGCAGTGGCAGCGGATGAACGCATGACAGATGACACATCCAGGAGCCTGCTGGCCCAGTGCACCGAACTCCGCCAAGCTGCCCTGAAAACCCCGAGGATGGTTGTCCAGCGGCTAAAGAGCCTGTACATGGACCTGCTGAGGCGAACGCCGTGCATAATTCCATGCTGGAAAACATGTTCGCCTATGTTCGCAAAATGGTTTTCATATGAGGCCCATTGAAGTGGACAGCTTCTTCCTGCATTTCAACAGCGAGTCGACACTGACAGTGTCAGAGCTGGAGGCCCGACCACAAGTTTTGCTGATCGGCCAGCCTTTCTGCTGCATTTCTTGGGCTTGTTTTGTTTTCTTTGGTGAAGAGCACTGACCACCTGTACCCAAGGTACAGCACAGGGAAAACTTCGCTAATAAAGTGGGTCACTGGCATTGAAAGTCCGTTCTTCGACATCCGGCCTCAGCCAAGCACCGACAAGTTCATGGCAGTTGTGCATGGAGATGAGGCTAATGTGCTGCTACCTTTTTTGCACAGACAGTCCGAACTCTTGCTAGCTTCTGGCATTGGACAGGAGAAGGTCATCAATGGAGATGCAGCCACTTGGCTAAGTGCTTAGCAGGGTTTAGCAGTGTAGCCAGCCATGAGGGTACCAGGTAGTCAGCACGTTGCTGCTTCAGCTCAGACCTAGGCGACCTGCCTCCCCGAGCTGCCTTACAGCGGGCTGTCCAGATTTGGGTCCTCCTTCCTGGGGAAGCTGCCGGGCTGCGGGATGGCTGTCAAACATGTCTTTAACACAGCTGCTGGGACTTTCTGAGGTTCCAGGTGCTCGTGGAAAGTGCACACATCTTGAAGCAGGATTGGTGAATCTTGCAGGGGTCAAAAAAAAAGAAGCCTTCCTTGCGTGCCAGCATGTGCCAGCACTTCTATATACTTGTATGGTGTTGGCAAAAAAGCCTTTAATGCAGATCACCTTCATCGACACCCCCGGCGTCCTTTCTGGCGACAAGCAGCGCATCAGCCGCGGCTACGACTTTATGAAAGTCTGCCGGTGGCTGGCTGCTCGATCTGATCTAATTTTGTTGCTCTTCGACGCCCACAAGCTCGACATCTCCGATGAGTTCAAAGAGGTAATTGAGTCCATCAGGAGCGATGGCGACAAGTGTCGGTGTGTCCTAAACAAGGCAGATGAGATCGATGGCGAGAATCTCGTCAAGGTCTATGGCGCCTTGATGTGGAATCTTGGGAAGATTCTTCAGACACCAGAGGTCGCACGAATGTACGTGGGATCATTCTGGGACGAAGACTACAAGTGCAAAGATTTGGAGCGGCTTCTGAACCAGGACAGCGACAAACAAGCCCTGTGACAGCTTGCAGTGTTGAGTATTGCTGCCGATGGCCGCAGGACCGAAAGGACTTGCTGCAGGAGCTGCGGGATTTGCCTAGAAATGTTTGTGTTCGGCGAGTTAATGAGATCGTGGCACGGGCGCGAGCTGTCAAAGTCCATCTCGCTCTGTGCTACCTGGCCAGCGATGTTAGTGCACAGGAGATCGCTGTCCATCCCGAGTCCCGAGGCTGTGCCCTGCGTGCTCGTCTTCCTGCCTTTGGCTTCTGTGGCCGGCGATGGCGCCATCAAATGTGGCTTTCAGAGCATCTGCCCGAGGTGCCCTGCCAGCTGTTGTTTTGGCCACGCGGCGTCGGCAGCAGTCAGCGGATGAATGTGTTTGTATCTGCGCTGCTCAAGGTGTATGCCGAGGTCATGATGCTTGCCTGAATAGCAGTTCCCATGCACTCGTCACGCAGCTTGGGGCCCCTCAGTTATAGCATGGAAAGCGAGCGCGGCGTCTAAGGCGCCTAAGGAAGTGTTCTGAGTCTTATGTAGGCGTTATGTACCGGGGGTAACTCCTCACCTGCTAAACTAGACGGAGATGTGTGATCAAGTCCTCAATGCTGCGGTACAAGATATACTCTCACAAAAAAAGCCATGATGTCTTTAAGTGGCACTTTGCGGAAGCCTCATGTAAAAGTTGTGCCATGCCTTGGCCAGGAAGGACTACGAGCTGCTTGGCCAGAGCAATGCGCGACTTCTGACATTCTGACAGTGTGGTGCTCCACGTCCTTCACGTGAAAGCAACAGAAAGGTTCTGCCACGAAATTGGCAGAATCGGACATATCAGAACCACGTCTAGCAGGGTGCCAGATCATCCCCAAGCTTGCAGAGTCTTGCAGGTTCGCGCCTGGTGACATGCCGCACGTGGAGTACTTCGGCCAGCGGCTGCGTGCCTTCAAAGACTTCAGGTCCTTTCAGAGGCCTGAAAAGGATTCCTAGGTGCTGTCTGGATGCAGATACCTGCAGGTCCTGCAAGGCGCAGCAAGAAACGCTTGACCGGTTGATTGCCACGGAGATCCCGCGATTGATGGCCATGGTGGGTGGCGTCTCCGCTTCAGAGCTTGGGCAGAAGGTCCAAATCATGCCTCCACGTGCGACGCATCAGATGCGCGCTGCGGCCCTTGGCATGCCAGGCCAATGGCAAGTCCAGCTCTTTCACATGGAGCGGCTCCGTCGTACGTCCCTCTTCTGGCCGCAGCCTTAAGCGTTTCCCCAGCGTTTCCAAACGCTTTGTCTGCGTGAACTTTGAAGGTCTGGATCCTAGTCCTGCACGATGCTGCTTCGTCTGCTTACTGGTGCTCCTCTTATCAGCCCCTTGCCAGACAAGCTGAGTGATATCGCTGATACTTACTTACGGGCTCCAGGAAAGTCCCATAGAAAACTGCATAGCAACTCAGGCCGCTGTGGCGCTTGCTACAATAGTTGTACTTGGCCGTGCAGAGGCATGTGTTAGCACGCACGTGCCAGCTCGCAAGAAAGTCAACCTGCGTTTGTAAACGTTGCTGAGAACCCTTGCCTGTTGTGGAAAGAAGTCTTGCCAAGTTCTGGCCAGGTGGTGGCCGCATTGGAGCAGTTTGTGGATCTTGATCTGGCAGTTTTGCGCAATCGCACGCAACAGTTTTTTCGTGACGCTTGGCAGCATGGGCCCAGGCCATTACACAGCTCAGCAGGCACCCAATTCCAGCATCGCAACCCATTTCCTGCAGTCTCAAGGATTTGACGGGAGAAGAGCTCTGAGTTTGAAGCAGTGAGGTATGGGCTCAGAGAAACTCGTCTGAGCCAGTACCAGGTCACGTCGCTGCCAAGTACCAAGCTACTGGCTTGCTTTGCGAGCGCCAAAAACGAAGTTTGGTGCGAAGGCTCGGGCCGGGTGCAGAGTTTTGCAGACTCCGGCGTCGCAGCCTCGAGAAGGGCGCGGAGCATTTCGCAACTCGTTTGGTGTTGCGGCATGTGACATCCAGCCCTGCGGTCAATGTGATGCAACGTGATGCACGAGAGGGCTGTAAACATGCGGCCTGCTCAATCAGATCGAAGCAAAAGACATTCGAAGCGTTCACGCCCCATGCATGCTGCATGCCCGCATTGACGAAATCAATCCTACGTACTCGTACTGTATTTTGTTCAAAGTAAGCACCTACTCGGATCTCAGCACCAGTAATCAGTCGGTTTGCGTGTTTTGCACAGGCCAGAGCCAATCCGGATGCCAAATCCACAGCAGACACCACCAGCCCTCAATTTCTTCATAACAAGTTGTTCTACCAAAGCCACTTAAGTTTGAGGGACGGTATGTTCACTTCAACCAAGGACAGTTCACCAACTGCTACACTTGAGGTAGTTGCAGAATTTCAGAAGCCATGCTTCTAATGCTTCGCCGAACTTTCGGCCCAAAAGGCAGTGTAGGAATACTGCCTTGGGTCCAACATGAATGAAGAGATCACACGTTGTCATCTCAAATGGTGCATGAGATTGGTGTAGGGAACTGTCAGTCGGGTCACATTGCAGCATGCATCGTACAAAGCCGATGGTCAGGGTAGGCGTGCTGGCTGCAGAGTTGAGTGGTTTCCAGAACCTGGAGCCTGCGCATGCTACGCTTAGTTGGCTTCTAGTCTCAGCTGCTGCGGCCTGATGTGCTGATGGGCCTTTTGTCGTTTGGTCGGCAAAGCTGCCGGACTGCAGGCCAGACAGCCAGGCAAAGCATGGGCAAACCATGGAGAACAGGGTGAGTTTCTCCGTTGAAGGCGTTCATGTTCGATTTCGATGACTTGGAGAGAGCACTCTCCGAAGACGAGGCCTGGAGTTCGCAGCTTGAAGGAGTGGCCCAGCCTTTACATGACTCTGTTCGTCCTTGCTCCGATGCACTCACGTAGAACTGCTGCAGGCAGCACCTGAAAAGGATGATGTGCGGCCTGAGGCACAGATCCGGAGTTGAGCAAAAGCCATTGTTACAAAAAACATGTCATCAGGTTTTTGGCTGTAGCAACTAGCAGAGCGTGGTCACGAATCACTCAGTGGTAATCTTCGTTGGCTGTTTCACAGTAAGATGGATTTCCCTATCCAGCTTCAGCTGACTTGTGGGAAACATTCCTTTAACGGCAGCATGCTGCTGCAGATGCTTAAATCACACCTGGTATGTGGCAGCCAGGCAGATAGGCTTAGTTATTAGAGCCACTGGGGTTTGGGGTTGCAATGGTCACTTTGAAAAATGCTCAAGGCTCTCTTCCAATTGGTCTGGGGATTAGGTGTGATTTTGAGGCCGCTTGTGTTGTGAGGCTAGGACGTGCTTTCACGAAGCTTGGATGGGTCCCCTTGCAGGCCCCAAAAGGGGCAAAGGGAGAGAGTCTGCCTACGCGTTGAAGAAGGAAGCTAAGCCCTTCAAGCTGCCAGATTCCTAGCCAGCCTGTTGCTGCTGAGCATGGCGACCACGGGCACGCGGCCTGGCTCCCAGATTTGACACTTCGTAGAGGGGTTGCCAGCAAGCCTTAGCCTTGTGGGGTGATGCAATCGGTTTGCAAAGCCACCAATGGTTTGGGATACCGCCTTGGCACCTTAGCAAGACATCTTAGGTGCGTATCTGGGCAATATCGGACCTGCACACTGACGATCCCAAGAACAAGGCCACAGCGTGTGAGGTAGGGCTTCCAATCTAGATGTATTAGTAGATGGGTTCCTTAGAAAAATGGGTGAGCAAACGGCTACGTGTAACAGTGTAGGGTGTCTGTTGTTGAGACCGGTAAAAGGGATCCTATCCCATATATCAACGAGTTCGCCGGGCCACCTCTTCTCAGATCCGAACCGGCAGCCCCTGAGCTCGGTAACGGCGTCAGCATGTCCCACAGTGTCAAGTTCAGTAACTTCAGCGCCGCTAGCACATGCGTTTTCACAATCAGTCTCAGCATCGTACACATCATTGCTACTACCTGCGTGTGTGGCAGGAGTGGTTGGAACACATTGACACAAAGGACACTGCCAATGATGTCATCATAGCAGCTGGACTGCAAGTGGCCATGCGGTGTGCAGTGTGGAACTGCAAGAAGCTTCTCTGAACTGTTTGAGGTTGCTGGGGACATTTCCCACAAGTGTCGATCTCAGGGAGGCTGATCGATTCAGTCCAGGTATCCACATCACGATCCAAAAAAAGTTGCAGTCCGCTCACGAGTCACAAGGTGGGAGATCATCCGCGCCACGCTGTCCTTCTTCAAGGCGCGCGTGCAGACGGGCAGTGGAGGTGCTTAAGCACCAAGATGGGAGGAGCATTACGCCAGAGTGTTCTACGTTCCTGGCAATCATGAGCCGTGTGCTCAGCAGAACGTACTTACACAGCAGTGCTTAGGGAGACCATGGCTTGTTGGACAACTGATCTGCACAAGGCGGTGCATGAATTTGAACGGCTCAAGCCTCCATGACAATAAGAGCACCAGCGGAAGCCATGTGACTGAATAGCCATGGCCTGGCCGACAGGCGACAGATGACCTCCACAGCTGACGCTCAGCGTTTGACTGATTTAGGGCACTGGTAGATACCCGAGTATGTGCCAGGCTCTTGGTGTAAGCTTGGCCGCCTGTCGGGGCCTCCACCACCTCAAGGTGCACCACCATGAAATGCAGTGCCATGTGCTAGAGCCACACGATCTGGGTCCCCGCAAATTTGGCTGACTCTGTCTAAGCAACCGCAGTCTGGGGTCGTGCCCGTTCTTTGACTGGAAGGCCTTTGCTGTTGCCAGCACGGACCTCCCTTAATATTGGAAAGCAGTTCAGTACACAAGATTTCCACGTCATGGAGCCCCAGGCTTGAACGACACGTCGTAGGGTAGTCGGGTAAGTATACTAGCTTTAATTCGTCCGCTTGTTTTCCTTTGCCCTTGGGCTGGGGCAGCTGCTTCACATCTGAACTGCTCATGCTCGTGAGCCGGTAGACCAGAACCATCCTTTATGATGCTTTCCAGTCGAGCAAGGGGTTCTGGGATGCTAGGGGGGCACACGGATGCAGCGCCAAGGACCATGCACTTGTGGAACTCCTTTCAGCTCCACTCGCGACCGGTTGAGGCCTTCGTGCAGGTGCAAGAGAGGCTTTGGAACCAAGTTTTGGAAGATGCCGGGTCGGACATGCCCTGGTCTGCACTCTTCCAAGCTCTGGCGAGTAGTGAGGCTTTCAAAGAGTGCCCCGTTCGCAAAAAAAGAAGCACTACCAGGTTCATGTTGTTTCTTTGAAGTCACTTGGCGACCAGGCTTTGGGTTGGTCTTCGTGGACCCTTTCTCCTCCCACGTCTTCGCTGCATTGAAGCAGTTTTTAAACTGGATGACATTGCTGAGGGCCTGGCCATTGCAAGTCGCGCTGGGGAGAAGATCCCAGCGGCCATTGGCCTCATGCTGCCAGTGCCCGGCATGCTGGACACGCACATCAATTCCCAGTTGCCCCCTGTGACATCCAAAGTGGACCTTGAGGAGCTGATGGGCTTTGGCACTATCTTTCTCAATGCGGCATCCAAGCATTGGAGATCTTTGGCAAGGATATGCCAAGATGCCGGTGCAGCTTTTGCCTTTCCTACCAACATCAATATCTACGCTACCGCTCCTGGGCGCAAGATTTCCACACTTCCACATGCGGATCATCATGATGTTCTGATTATGCAGTCGCAGGGCAGCAAGCGCTGGCGCGTGTTTGCTCCCCCGCCTAGGGTCTTTGGCAAGCACCCTCTGCACAGAGGTAAAGGCACTGACACCCTTCACAAACATGAGCTGGGGCCCGCACTGATTGATGTGACCCTCACGCCTGGCGAAAGTCTCTTTGTGCCCGCTGGCTTTCCGCATTCGACGAGTACCACGACCGGTGAAGGAACTGAGGCTCCAGCCTCGGTGCACCTCACCTTGGGCCTGTCTGCAGCAGACTGTGGCCTTACATACAGTACGCCGCTCGTCAAGGCGAAGGTGGTAGCTCTCAGCTTTTCCTTTAGAGTCTTTCCAGGTTGTCCAACTTCTTGACTGGTTTTGTCACTGTGCTGTTGTACTGAGGCTGGTCGGACAAGTTTTGCTCGAAATGGGTTTGGAGCCACCGGACGACGAAGTGCTCACTGAAGAATCCTTCTGGACCATGAATCGGCCTCTGCCTCTGGGTTGCCTGAGCCATCTGAGCCATCTGAGTCATGGTCCTAACAGGAAGTCGGGGATCCTGCAGAACCTGGCAGCCGAGCTTTCCCGTGTAGCGTTGGGCATCCTGAGCATGACAGATCTCAGAACCCGTGATCCCAGCGACGAGGTTCTAGAGACGGTATCCCTGAAAAAAGCTGTTTCTGTCGTGGCATCTCGATGGTACGACATCTGGGCGGACCTTCTGCAGATCCATTGGGAAGGCTACAGGGATGTAGTCGCAGCACAGGCTGGAGGCAAAGTTGTGGCAACTGGGCTCCAGGGAACCTCTGTTTTCCATGCCTTACCGCGGCCCTGCGATGATGAGTTGTTCCTGAACGCTGAAGAGGCCTTGAGCAGTCTCCTGTTTTGCGCAAGGGAGCTTCTCGTTTTGGGATTCGTCCATGACATCTTGTGCAGTCCTTCCGGTGGCCCCCTGTTCAGGGTGAAGTGGACCCGGCAATCCTGTCAGCAACATCGTCGGCGACCAAGTTCTGTGACTTCATCAGAGCTCGCCTGCCAACGATGGAGTTGCACCTCGGTGGCGTTTCGGCCTGTTGTGCTGGCAGTGATTGTTTGATGTGGCTGCATGTGACCAAGGAAGTGGCGAGACCCTGTCGACCCTAAGGCTCCTATTGTGGCTGTAGCAAACTTGCTGTCAGCTTTTCATGCACCCTGAGGGTCTGTAAGCACCTGGCAGGAGCTGAAGAAGCGAACAAGCATTCTGCCTTCAGTGTTTGAGCTCGTGGACTAGAGAGGTCAGGCCTACAGAACACGCAGACGTTTGGTGGCCCTGATCCAGAAGCGACGCCTTGGAATCCAGAAGTCCTTTCGCATCCTCGCCAGCTTGCCCGTGTTCATGCAAGCTGTTTTTCAAACAGGCTTCTGTACCAGAAATGTCAACCGCGCCGAGGTGCTGTGCCTGATATCCGCTGCATTCCCTCCCCACCGCAGGAAATCTCAGGAAGCTGGGCGGGCTCGTCATCTTGCAGGCCTCCTCAAACAGTGCGCATCTGTCGTGGCTCGTGGGAGAAAAGAGAGTGAACGGTGTTGAGCTATGAGCATGATTAGGTCCAACACGCATGATACCATGTGTTCCCTAGGCTCTGGGGCGGGGCTGATGAGGACACGTTGCAACTGCATGGTCATCATTTGGCAGATCTGCGCAGCTTCAGTCAAGAGGACTCGATGCGACGGCTGGACCAGCTGCTGCAGCTTTGCGCAGAGCTCCAGGTAGAGACGTCGCCAGCCGAGGCCTATTTAGCGGCCTTTGTGAGAGTTGTGCTTTCTCCACCAGCGCCAGGTTGCAACAACCTCTCGGCGCGTGCTTGTCGTGCCGCTGCTGTCGTGGCACCACCCGCAGTGGGACACGGAGCCAGACATCGAAGGCCTATTTTACAATCACCTAGAAAGCTTGCACACCAAGTAATTACACGCGTTTCATTTCCTCCGGACTGAAATACAGTGAGGAAGTGCATGAGCGTAAATGGATTGTCCAGACCACACCTGCCCACCTCAGGTTGGAGCGGCCTTCTGCCTGTAGACCAGATGCTCAGTTTGGGCCCGAGGAAGAGTTTCATACTGGTGCACCTGCCACCGCCTCCACTTTTCAGCCATCTCGCAAGAACAGAACAGTATTGAAATATGTTGGAATAGATTTGGCATGTCTTTGCGTGATTAAGAAGTTTGCGCTGGATGTGTAACTGAGGCGATTACCCTCTGACGCATTGGCCGCGTGGGATCTCCATCAGAGCCATCATCTGAGTTCATGCGAACGTAACCCATTCATGTGCACACAAGTCTTGTAATGGGGGCTTCTGATTGTAAAGCCACCCCCCCACCTCCCCAACAAGTATAGGGATCTGAATTCTCCGGGGGGTCCCAATCAACTTCGGGAAAACTTGTTTGGGGCGGGATCCCAGACGAACCCATAAACCATAAACCCTACGCCCTAAGCCCTCTGGCCTAAGGCTTGGGATATATTTGCAATTCAAATACTTATAAGCATTAATTAATCCCTTCCCCCTAATATTAAAACCCACCCTAATACATAAAATCTAATTAAATGTCCATTGAAAAGCAATTCACCTCGATGCCAATCTATTTTTACAGGAATTTCAATTAGATTTCAATTGATTTCAAAGGGACTGTAATTTGATTTCAATTGATTTTACAAGGAATTTAAATTAGATTTCAATCGATTTCAAAGGGAGTTTAAATAATTCGATTTCAATTGGCTCTTAATAGAATTCTAATTAAGTTGCAATTGATTTGACATGGATTTGAATTCGATGCCAATTGATTTTAAAAGGAATTCAAATAAGATTTCAATCGATTTCAGAGGGATTTCAATTCGATTTCAATTTTCAAATAGAATTATACTTAAATTCAAGACTTCAATTGATTTGAAATGGATGTTAATTCGATGCCATGTGCTTTTGCCTGCCAGAGCCATGATTATTCCGTACTCTTTTAATGGCCATTATTAGGTTCCGGCGGTCTCAGTATAATACCCCTTAGCAGAGATGATTGCCTGGGCTGTTCGAATAAGCGGTCTTATAAGAAATCGATAGTTTCTGGCGTGCTCAAAGCCTGAGAATCGGAATCGAATCAGTTTCTGGCCAAAAGCTTGTAACTGTAATTAGGTTTGAGATCCAGAGGCCCAAGGCTTAGCATATGATTGTGGGCAACTTAGATCTTATTCTTCTTTTGCAGATATTTAATTAGGGACGGTTGGTTAGATTGGCTGGCTTTTCTGGCTTTCTTCTCTCTGTCTTTTGTTTGTTTTCTGTGTTTGGGCATTTCCAGAAGCGAGCATGGAATTATTCCGTTCCTCTACGGTGCCGTGTTGTTATTAATCCGGATAATCCGTTCAGACCGGATTCAGCTTTATTCCGTACCCATTTACATTATTCCGTTTAGGCCCGATTTAGCTCTCATCCGACCCCCTTTAATAATCCGAAGCCGACATTATACCACCATTTCAGAGTGCATATCTACATACGGCACACAAAGCATCAGCCAAGAGTCGTTTGTACTCTTGCAGTGCAACGCGTGTGTGGCTCCCTGTAAAGCTTCGAGCCTAAGACGCAAGCTGTAAAACGCCGATGAGATCATCCAATGCGTTCTGTATCCATCGTATGGTGTTCTAAGTCCTACATGCCCTGGGATGGCACTATGGATTTGGATCCGTTCTGAAGAACAAGAGGGGCAAGATGACTTCCCCATTAATCAGCGGCTGTCGTTGGCCACCACCGCAGAAGTAGTGTGGGGGGCAGCAATAAAAGTGGGTGTAAGGTAGGAATAGGAGAAGGAGAAGGACCAGGAAGAGGACTAGGGCTAGTCGATCCCGTTTGGTGAGGATGAACAGAAGAGAGGGGAGCAAAGGAGAAGTATTAGCAGGAGAAAAAGAAATGGTATCAGTTATTGGGGTTCTATTGGGACAATGGAGAATCAAATGGAAAAGAAAATGGAAAATGAAATGGAAACGTGGCGGAAGAATCCATGATGAACATGAAGCGGAACAGCAACACATTACTCTTGGCAGTAGAATTGGCAACTGCGATGACGAAGGCAACAGTAGCAGCAAATGTATAGTTGGACAGGTTTCTGCTTCATGACTTGTCCCAGAAACACCCGTTCTCGGGTAGTGGCACACATTGGTCCACGAGCTCTGCCATGACGAGGGGGGAGTTTCTCGAACTTGCCCGTATGATTCCAATCCCCAGCTTAAACCCCAAACCCAAAAGTTTAACCCCCACTGCGGGAGTCTGTAAGGGCTCTCTTGCAGTCAGTTTATGTAGGGTAAAGGTCTTAGGGTAGAGACGATAGAGGCATTTCATACTGTAACGAGAACCCAAGGTTTGGGGTCTGCGGCTTGAGGAGTTACAGCTGGGTTGGGAGTTTTGGGTGTGGGGTTCAGGGCTCAGGTTTTTGAGGGGTCTAGCTTTAAAGACTGCCTAGACCTGTTTGTCTTGCAAATTTTGGGCATCCAATTTGCTTATAGTATGTTTTCGGTGAAGCCAAGCACCCGCAACAAGAGAACACATTACGAGATCTAGGCAAGCACCCCAGGCGAAACCTCAGGTTTTGGTTTCAGGGTTCTTGGAGAACCCCCTGCACCTTATCACAGTTCCCAGTGTTGGACTTGTATAGGTATTTCCCATAGTAAATGTCCTACTCATGACTGCTAAGCGCTACACCCTAAAACCTTAAGCTTCCTCCTGCACAGTTCAAGGTGAGTTCCCTGCTGTGGATGCACTCTCGAGTGTCTCGCTGGGGTTGGGTTTGGGTTCCAAGAAAAGCGGAGTCCTTGTGGCGGTTTCTTTTTCTGAGGATTGTAATCCTTCAAGGTGAAAAGGGGACCCCTGCTTCCGGAAAGTCACCAAAATTGTGGGGATTGCAATGGGATTCTGGAACTCCCCTTGACATAAAAAATCAAGGATTCTAAGCCGCATTTTTTACGAAGCTCCAGCTGCCTGCATAAGCAAAGAACAGGAGCTCCAAGCAGTTTAGAGGATACGGGTATCACAATTTACAGCGCTTCCAAATTTGCGCCACGTTATGCTCTCATGTGGATATGACTTTGGGAAACCAATGGAATTTCTGCGCGCAGAACCCCGCACCAGGGAGATGCTGGGAATTGGGATTGGGGTTTTTGTTCGCAGACATGAGCAGAATCAGCCACATTTGGAAGTTTATGGGTAGGTCAATCCCCCCTGCAGTAATAGCTCCTTAATATGGAGTCAGGTAATCATGTTCTAGGGCCTTCTATGCATACATTTGTCCCTTGTGGTACCCATTACTGGGTGTTGGATTGACTCAACCTCTGCCGCTGTGGGATCGTTGCCTCTGTTTTGTGAGCAATGTTTTTGACCAGTCTTGCTCTAGGCGCGGGAAACAAGCGCGGTTTAGGGTTTAGGGTTGAGGGTTTAGGGTTTAGGGTTGAGGGTTTAGGGTTTAGGGTTGAGGGTTGCCCAAGTCGCTAACAGTCAACACAGGCTGCGATTTTTTTTAATCCTAACACATTCCCGCCACCTGTCTATGTTTCAATGGAGGAGCACCTGGTAGTTTCTCGGAAGAGGGGAACCCCAATACAGACACGAACATACGATAATCCTTAGATCCTGCCCCCACTCAGCAACAGTTGGATTAAGTTATATTATGTTATAGATCGCTCTTAACATTCCCCTATTACAGGCTGTTATTGGTTGGGGCAGGACCCAAGATTGTCCTTGTTACAGGTACCCCTAATTTCGGGAATCCCCCATGTGAGCAACGGCTCTGATTTCTGAACCTCCCCCTAGCGTCTACCGGGGAGAATTCCTGACAAAGCAGGTCTTCGTGCTAAACCCTAAACCCTAAAACCCTGACTTCTAAACTCTAAACCCCTAACCGCGTTTCAAGGCCCCAACATATTTGTCATCGTCCGACCTTGCTATGTGAGCCATTGTCTAAACGCCTAGTATCCCCCTCCATGACCCCTATAGTAGTCCCGTATATAACCCCCCTTTAAGGAGTTTAGACTGTAGCTCATGTGAGCCCATTTTGGTGGAATGTGAAACAAGTTCCTAGTTCAAACAGTAAGTCTCAGGCGACCAAAAGTGCAGTATTGGCGGATTTTAGTCGTCACCAAGATGAGAAAATCCACACCAGCCGGTTCCCAGTAGTTTCCAGCCATGGCAGGCAGTAGGGTTTAGGTTCATGGTTCCAAATGCGATAGCGGCTTCCGGTGCCCTGTCCCAGCTAAACCCCAAGCCCTAAACCCCCCAAAAATACACCCTAAACCCTCTCCGCAGCAAGGTAACTGCCCATCACCTCTTGCCAGAGGCCGCAGTCTGGATTTCATGGGCTGGGTTTACTTATTGTTGGTTAGCAGGGAAGGGAGGAATGGATCCCTACAAAATCCTCGACACTGATCCGTGCGTGCAGTATTCCTGCGTCCCCGAAGCTAGGCCCATTCTCATCATTGCTCATGATGCTTTCCAGATATGTGTGGTTCTACCCTAACCATCAGTAAGCTGGGTTGCTATTAAGGAACTTTAATTGAGTTACTAGAGAAAAGAAACCCATAGTATGGTAACTTAAGGCCCCTAAACCTTAAACCCTATTCAACAGCAACCCAGTAAATTTAGGGTTTAGGGCTTTCAAGGGTAAAGCAGGGATTTTTTGCCGTTTGCTGGGCTCCCTAAGGGTCCAAGTAAATGATGGGGTTAAGCAGGTCCTAAAGGCTCTGATCACTGGTTGTGCCATTGCCTGCGCCGCCGGTGGTGTGTCAAGATGTGGCTCCGCGGTCAACAGGAAAGGCCGACAAAACCATTATCTGAATGGCATTTGATACCGGAATCCCCCTGATATGTGGGTGCTCCGGATCTTGGATCCCCGCTACGGAAGATGTCTTCGTTGTACTGCTGCTAGACAAGTCCGGTGGAAGAGATGGCGTCAGCCAGGGCCCCGTGACCCTGAGATCTCTACGTAGCGGTGTGGCATGAATTAATTCTGAACGTGTCTGGTATTCGGAACTCTGAAGCCATAAGCCCTAAATCCTAAACCGCAGTACAATCAGGAGCAAGCGCAGTCTCAACAAAGATTCAGCATAGACATGGAAGCCCTTTACGGATATCCTCACTTTTCCTATCAGTGTAATCCAAAATCCTTAGTAGAGAAACGGTGAATCAAGCCCTACTGATTTACGTTGCATATGTATTGGCACATTTCGGTTTGGGGAGTGTTGAACTCTAGTACAGGGGTGAAGTGATTAACAC